TAATTAATATTCTAACAAAAATATTAAGATATATTAAACATATATTAAAATATGTTTAAAGCTTTTTAAATATCTAATATAGGATTCTAGCTTTCCCCCTAAAAAACTGAATATTGTCTACATTTCACTGACTAAAATCCCGGTTTATTGGCATGGCTATTCAAGTTACATTTCAGATTCTCAAAATATTTACATCTTGCCCTTCTATTAAAATTTTTGAAACATTAACTGTTAAAACAAAAAAACAATATAAAGCTACAAATAATATGAAATGATTTATAATTAAAAATAGTACGTGGATTTCATCTTACCATCAACTCATGTAAATAAGGATTAAACAGTTACAAATCAATGTAAACAGAAACACAAGATCAAAGTAACTTATTTCAACACTAATCGTTTGTTTGAACTCATTTAGTAGCCTACCATCTACAATTACCCCATCAGCTCAGTAGCTTTATTTGGCCTAAACCTAAGGCCTTGTCATCTGTTTCATTCTAAGCATGATGCTACCTTTCTTGCACACTTCTGAGCCCTTGCTAGATGTGGTCTATTTATATACATTTTATTTCTGTAATTCTCCCTGCTGTTTCTTTGGGATACCACCCAAAACATATATCATCTGATTCCCACCCCATTCACAGAACATTTGAGACTAAACTGCTCAAGAGTTGGATTATTTTCAAACTATACTTCACCTTGTTCACACTTAAGTGGGCTTGTAACAGGAATCTTATTCTGAGTTTGAGTAGGAAATGGTAGCGAGACTTGGCTAGGTGGCTAAAAAAAAAAGACATTCATTCAACATCCACCAAATCAAGGAAAAACAAATATAGAATCTTCCCTTCTAGGCACAATACTATTTTTTATTTCTCTTGATTAGACAATATACAGAGAAACCTGAGACTGAGCTTGTGCCATGATATATATCACAGTTATATGGAATTGTCATTCACATGAACGCATACATAATTATGTATAGGTGACTGCAGTAATAGCAGCATTACTGAATTATGTGGATATCAACTCATGTCTTCATTTAAGCATAGCAGTACTGACATACTCATAAGAGGCCAGGCAGCCCACTAAAATAAAGTTTCTAGAAACATTGCTTTAAGCTACAGTCATCCTACGCCATCAGAATAGGAGCCCTGTCATTCACCTTTCCTGCGTTGAGGAAAAAAGTCTTCTTTAGGAATTGGAGGACAGTATTACCTCTCCTTTTTCACTTTTCTCTCTTTTCTTGTAATTCCGAACATCCTCACAGGGCACAGATGCAATCATAATGCACATTTCCAAATATTACTAGAAACCTTGCTATCTGAACTTCTCTTCTATTTTTAATAGGATAGCAAAGAAAAAATGCAATGGATAAATATGACATTACTAAGGGTCTAATGCTGGGAAAGGTGGAAGGAAAGAAAAGAGGATAACCAGCAGCAAGGGGAATGGAGTCAATTACAGTTGTGATGAGTGTTGGGAGACTTGAAACAACAGGTTAGAGATAGATCATCATGGAGAAAATCTATGTGGGCACTAGGAGTCAAAAACAACTTGATGGGACATAATCAAAGGCTGCTAAGTAGTAACCAATCTCTTTAGTTTTCATATTAAAAGATTCAACCTATTTGAGAAAAATCTAGACCAATCTTCTCTCCATTACAAATACTGTAAAAAAAAGTGCAAAATACCTCCAACTAAAACTTTCACTCAGTACCTTCCTCCGTATACGTACAGGTTACTTTTCTTTATTCCCCACTTTAAACTCAATTATGCTTGAAAATAAGCATATATACACTTTATTTCAAGTTCACTCTTCCATTTACCTTTTTTGCTGGTACTTCTGACTTCTTAGCTTTCCACTTACGAGCCATTTCTGCATACTTTTCTTTTTGTTCTTCATTAAGTATCTTAGGAGTAAAACCAATTATATAAATCCTTCCACTATTTTCTCCAACGTTGTCTCCCCCCAATCATCCACTGACTTAATCTAGCAGGATAACTGTTTTTAGGTAGCACTAATTTGGTAAAGCCAAACATGCTAACACTGTTAGATTAGGCTTAGTAACTTCCATATGGTGCTTTCTCTCTCAAGTGCTATGCAACAGGCCAATGCACCTTACTCTCAATAAGTATTATCAGTGGAAGGCTTAAGCATCACCCTAACACTAGAGTTATTTTAAAATATATCTTGTTACTACATCCAAAAACTGAAGTAGGAAATTGTAAAATTCTATATGGTAATAGTGATTTTATTGCCAAGGTTAAGCTTTCTGGCAATATAGAAATACTTGGGAAGCAATTCTTGTCTAAGCTGGAAAACAATTTTGATAACAGGTCCCATCAGTATGGCCAAATGCCAAGAAGTATAGTCCAGTGGATGGCTCCAACTCGGAAAAGGCTACTCAGATCAGTTCTCTTGTCAAGATAAACTCTTCAAGAACTGTATCCAAATCTTACAGCTTTTCTTCAGGAAGTTTTGGATAGCAACAATGCATTACATGTCTTAAATTCAGGAAGAAGCCTTTTTCAGCAAATGAACACAAAGCCACATTGCAGAAAGGTTTGTAACTACAGCTACCAGATCTGAGCTGCAAAAATCCGGACGATACTGACACCAACTATCTTCCACATTTTTGTCGTCCAGATCTGACAGTCTTATCACTTAACTCTGCAACTTCTACCGTTTCCTCACTTTATAGCATTTTCTAGCGTTATCCAAAAATCGTAGTGGTGGCATAAAGCTTCCCTTCATTACTACTGTACCACCACAATACAGGTTGGACGACGTTATAAGACGCTATAAATCGCTAGTAAGGAAATATCAGGCCCTTGCAAGTTGAGGGACGGCCATTCCCAGGTCTTTCTCTTCAGGCCTCACGACCGAAAGAGAAGGCGCAGCCACGCTCCCTCACCGCCCAGGCATAGGAGCAATGCGGGACGGCGTCAGCCACCCCGGTCACAGCCAGGCCCTGCTGTTTCAGTTCCGGCAGCTTCTCCAGCACGAAGAAATAATAGGCGTTGCGCGCTCCTTTACGGTTCGGCATTTCACACCACGCCTGCAAGGAATCCTCGCAAAAGAGCAGGCAATCGGCGGGGAAAAAGGAGAAAAGGGTTGGGTCTCCTTTTTAAAGAAGAAAGGGCCAATCCCGTGCCGCCTTGCTTGGCGATTCCGCCCGAGGCAAGCACGTGCGCGTGGCTGACAAGAAGAAAAGAGCGGTTTCGAAGAAGTTTATTGGCCGCCTGAGTGGCTCGGGCGCGCTTTACCGTATTTAATCCAGGGTCTTCCAGATGCCCCGGGCTATCATTTAAGGCAGCGGTATCTGGGCTGCAAAAGAAAAAAGGGGGTAATCGCTAGATGGCAGGAAAGAGATTGAATTTTTACAACACAAGTATTAGAGCCGTACCAACTGCCAAAATTCGGTTAGAAGTCTACTCCAATGCCTGGAGGGATGTTGGGAAAAAGCAACTGCTTATTTGGTTATTCAAAAATGGGTAAAGGAACCCTGGTGAAAAAAATAATTCATAAAACGAGTAGATTGCTCAGTACTTTAAAAAGAAGGAAAGGACTGAGGTATACAGTCTACAATCTCTTCAAGAGTTCGTTTTACTATTCCAGTAGCGCTTCTACCTTCTCTCCTTGCCAGAAGAAGCAACACGAGGTTACCTTTGGAGAGTAAAGCCCCCACAGTGGCTAATAATGTAGTGCCTTTGGTGGACTCAGATCTGAAGTGGAGAGGAAGAAGACTACAGAGTTAAAACCATTGCAACACCAATCTGATCTAAACAGGGTAGAAAACAAAACCTCAAAGTATGCAATTCGTCAGCTTGATTTACTTACTGAAGGAATCAACATAGGTAGCACATTGCTACTCTGGGCATCTGCCCCCTGTCTAGCTGAAGTGCTATTCACCTAGCCTTAAGTCAGCCAGAAACGATTTGCTTGAAATTTATGCCTGCTTCAAATCACTGCAGTCACCCAACTCCCCCCCTGTTGGAGGTTGAAGCACTGGGTGTGTGCGTGTAATTATTGAGAGTGGGAATCAAACCCAAGCAAAGATTATGATTATGTGCCATCAAGTAAATTCTTAGCAACCACACAGACAGGTTTTTCCAGGCTGAAACAAAAGATTAGTGAAGCAGTTTTATAACTCTATAGAAAGAAAATAAAAGGTGTATTAACTTATTTACATTATAGGGCTAAGCAAAACCTAGCAACTAGTTACAACCTATAAGAGAAGAATAAAACAGCAAGTGCTTTGCATATATTCCTAGGAAGAAAAGCAGAAGGTAATGACATTAAATAGCTCTTCATGCAAGCCTTTGGCAAGGAAGAGTGAAACCCTTCGCTTCATCATGCTTGCCATCTTTTATCTTTTTGTTTTATTGATTTGATTTGTTTGATTGTTATGAGCCACCCAGAGTCGTTGAGAGTCAGATGGCATAAGAGTTTAATAAGTTGCTATTATGTTAGCAATTTTTTAGATCGAGAACAGCAGAATAGTAGAGGAGACATAGAGAAGATCTATACATCTGTATGTAATTTTCTAGACATGTTCCATTGCCTCCTTGTGGCCAGTAGATCATGATGTGCCTTGAAGGTAACTGGTAACAAACAGTTTTTACATATTTTGGGGCTTCTTCTGGACAGTATCAAAATAGTGAATCTAATCTATTAAAACCTAGTCTAGCCTCAGTATAGCTAAGAGCATCTTAGGTCTTTCCTGCTATTTTTGTTTTGTAGTAGATCACTCATACCATGTTCAGCTGAAATTGCAGGGTGTGCTAACTTTTGGAGAGGAGTTCCATACCAATGCTTAGTTATACCTTCAGATCATGGATTCACTGTCAGCAAGGTATGGAGCTGCCATTAACCTGCAATGTTAGCAACATTAAAGGCTAACTTATACTAGTATTCTCTCTCATCCTGCAACCTGTAACCTCTAGCTTATTTACATAGGAAATCATATTTCCCAACACTGTTTTCCCCTAATAAACTATTTTTATGAGAATTGTACAGTTATTGTGATTTTCTTCTACTAAGTTAAATGTATCTAGAAGCAGAAAATTATGGGTGATTCTCTAACACCTGTTTAGCACCATGCAAGTCAAAAGGACTGCTGTTGGAATGCTGGCTGATATTATAATTTCTAAGTGTGGAAAGCTGTTGTACTGAGAAAGAGAGCAGAGGATACTGGAAATGAGTCATATACTAATTTTTTTGGCCAACAAATGTGCTTGACTGATTGGAAGCTTTTATTGTACTGTTAAACAAAGAGACTTAACTATTGTAGGATGAAGTGCAGTCTAATAGTCTTGAGAGGAAATAATGGATGGGAAAGAATACCCATATTTTCTGTTTTCCACAGATCACATTGCTTTCCTCAACTACCTACTCCTGTCTTGCTCCTTTTGCTCTGCTAGTCAGTAAATTCCTTCTCTATGACTTTAGGATAACTTGGGCATGCTTTGGAATGCTCAACAATTCATTTACTTTCAAATGATTAATTTGAATAGCTTAAGTTTCAAATGATTTACTATTATTTTGTTTTACCCTCAAATAAGAATAGGTCACATTGAAGGCATGCTAAACTAGGTTAAAGTGTGTTAAGAAAAGTGGGTTCATGATCAAACTATAGTTAACTACAGACTTTTCCAGTAGATCGTGGCAAATTTACTTCCCTCAGTCTCCATTGTCTAGACTTGTAAGGCTTTTTCTAGTTTCTGGACATCATTAAAGGGGCTGCAAAATGGTCTTATATCATACACACACCTGTGCCAGCACCCAGTAGCATTAAATAGGGACACAGCACAGCTTGTGGAAGGTGAAGTCTTTTCCCATCCTGTCTATGATGCTTCAACTCCATTCATGACTGATTAGATTTTAATTTACTTTTATTAAATAGGAACCTAATCAGCTGATTGCTATTAAAGTTGCTAGAATGTCAATTAAAATATCTGCAAACTAACAAATCAGGGTTGGCATTATTTTATAGCGTTGTCTAGCACCAGACCTATGCTAAATACCTTTTTCATGGTTAGTGTCATATTTGGCTGAATGTTTCATGTAAATATACTCATACAGTGCCTTCATTGTTTATCTGTGCAATAGTTGGTTATCAACTGTAAATTGTGCAATTATGCCCTTGTATGCATAACTGCTTTTGCTCAGATCAATTCCCTATTATTCCTGGCTGGCTGGGAATTTTAAAAGGCATCATGTCAGGAAAGGTATTATATTATAATCTCCAAGGCCAGGGACTCTATGTTGCTATGTTATTTATCAAATGTCATGTATAAAAATTGTAGCATACAGATATTGATAAAATCAGATGTCAGCTGATAGCACACAGCAGGATCTAATAAGTTAACAAACCCATCCTCTACAATATAGCTCAGCAATAAGTTATCCTGACTTGGCAGAACTTTCTTCTTTGTAAATATAGATAGCATCGTGGCCTTCAAAGCAGGATACTAAATGTGGATCTTGAGGAGGTTGAAAGACATGCACAGTCTGATACTCTTGTTAAATACTTCTGCTATGT